CAAAGTCCAACACAATGTGGGAACCTTTTGGATTTCGGGAGAAAAGTGGCTCCAGAAGGCAGAGGTATCCACATAAAAAATGTTAACATAGGTACAACTTACGTCAAAAGAATGTATTCTGTAATAAAATACTTCATCTTCAGTGGAGTTTTCAATCTTCCATCTTCAATTGGTATCATTTATAGCTTCAAATTACAATATGACAATGGGAAAATATTTTCCTAATATTGGAAAATCCTTTTATATTTCTTTCAACTAAAAAGCTTCACATTCTGTTGCTCCTTATAAAGATACTCCTAATATATGGCTTGTTCGTTTCAAATATTTATTTACTTGCCTGCAAACTTGCTTACAAGCTGCTTCAATAAGACTCTGACATGATTTCCCTCTCAGTTAAGACAAAGGAAGTTGTTTACAGAAAGGGCCACATATTTCTTAAAAATAGAGTTTGGGAACCATCTTTCTTTTTACCAACTTAAAGGATTTAGTTGTGCTAAATGCTTTAGTGGCTCCCCGCCCCCCTTATCAGATTTTATACATCCACTGTATTCTGTTTCTCCCAAATATTCTCCAGTCTGAACACTGGAGTCTTTCATGGTGCCAGTACATATGAGGATGGACAGAAATATCATCATAGGCTATTTGAATCATGCAAATGTATGTTTTAATGTATGTTTTAGCTGCAACATTATTTAATAATTCGATAGTGATATTGAATATGCAGGAAATCATAGTTCTGGCAGCTATAAAGGCTGGTTAAGCTAAAATTTAAATGAAATGGAGATTATCTAACATGATATGGGTGTGCTTCTCAATGTTTTGTGCCACCTGCATCTCACTGCTTTATAGTTTCTGAATTGGCACAGATTTTGAGGGAATCACAGAAAAAAAGATAATCAATTTTATTGCAAAAGACAAATTTTACAAATTTTAAAAAATGGGCCAGGTTTAGTTACTTTCCATTTGTCTTCTTGTTGCATTTCCTTTCCTCAATGAAGGTATTACTACGATGGTGACATGATCTGCAAAGTACAAGGCAAAAGGTTTGTATACAAGTTTGTGTGTGACTTGAAGACTCTCATTGGGTACAGTGCAGCTGAACTGAATCGATTGGTGACAGAATGTGAACAAAAGAAACTGGCAAAGATGCAACTGCATGGGATTACACAACCGGTCACAGCAGTTGCATTGGCTACAGCATCTCTGCAAACAGAAAAAGAGAACTGAGGACTAGGACCTAAAAGCTTGACAACATTCTTTTACACTTAGCAGTTTCTGGTTTTAAAATTAGAACTGCATCTATTAATTGGCAATTCAATATGATGCATGATTTTCTACAAGGAACGCTCATAAATTAGGGCCTTTTTCACTTAAAGATGTATTTCATGAATGTTAATGGCACTCCACAGGTTCTACAATATGAAGACATACAGGTTGTAGCAAGGAGCTTGGGAATTATAAGGAAATTGAAGATCTGGTATTATGTTGGTATTATGTTGTGCTACATCGCTTATTTTTTCAGAGCTTAAAGTAAAGCATTCACATATAGAACAGTCAGATTTTTTTTTAAAAAAATTGGTCTCTGCACTTCTTCAGATGCTATGTTAATAAATTTCTAAAATTAGAACAGTTTCTGTTAGCTATCCTCATTATAACTTTAAGCATGACAGGTTGTAAGAAAAACATTGATATAAAGGTGATTTCTTTGTCCCATAGCAAGAAAAAAGGTAACTGCTGAAAAGAGAAATCCAAATTTAATGCCAATAAGCCAATTATGAGTATTTTGATATCTGTAGATAAATATGTGTGTTTGAAGGGAAAATGCTTAACTATCTTGAGAAATTTTGTTAAGCTTAATGTCTGGCACAAAAAGGATTTCCACATTTTTATTGTAGGAATTAAAAACTTGAAATTTGTCTCTCATCCAAAGAATAAATTTGCTTTGTTTAATCTACACTGCAGAGTATATCAGCTGTTTCTGCTTTTATACTTGCACTGTAATTGTTTTTCAACTGAAGACTTAAGTTAATCACAGAAAGAAACCCCTTCTTGTTGAGTAATAGAATTAAAGAATGGAGTTTGATTTCCCAAAGTTATATAAATAGCTGTGTCAAAAAAAAAATACTTTCTTTAAATTACTTGGTTTCCAAGCTTTGTTTTAATGCTTTGGAAATAAAAAAATATTGACAAAACAATAGTCCTGTAAATTTAAAATATTTTTTAAAATTATACCCAGTTGAAATCCAGAAATGCTGACAATAGTGCACTGTTTGCACCTGTTTTATTATTTTTTACTGGGAAACACATTCATGGATATATTTATTACTCTTGGTTAGTTTGGTATAAATATTATGAATTAAGGCCATTAAAAGTTATGGTTCACTTAATCAAAAATATAGCCAAGTTGAATAGAATCTTTATCCTTTATCAACAATTCACTTAGTTGAATATCATGCTTCCATAAGCAATGATCATACAATATGACTTAGTTCTAAGCATCCTAGTTGTAGAGATGCTGTTACTGTAACAGCTCCACTAGTTTCTAAGATATACTTCATGGTTTTATTTACTCATTTTCAAGTTACTAAAAAAAATATACAGGAATATATTGTGTTTAAGGATCATTTTGGGCAAAGAAAGCATGTAATCTTGTGGCCAGTTAAATCCAATTCACTTGGATGTGTAGTGAATACAAAATAGTTTAAATTCTATTAATATTTTGTTATTTTTTCTTTTCCAATCTGTACAATAATTATAAAGAATTGTTCATTTGAAATATATTATCAAGAATTCATATTTCATTTTAGTAAGAACAAAAAAAAAGTGTCACTCTTTCTATGCCAATATAAGATTTAGGATTGTTACTGCATAACAAGCAACGTAGCTCAGATTATGCATTCATATTTATAAATCTGTTCATTTTGACTCAGATTACTCTGATCACAAATTAGTTAATGCTATTATATTCTCTCAGCTATGCATATTCTAGAATAAGCCATAGTAAGGAACATGGCATACGGCCTCTCTTTTATATACATTGATTTTTTTTTTTCAGAATTTTACATTTTCATTGTATTTCTTTTAGAAGTTTGCTGCACTTGTTACATTTGTTCCAGTTTATAGTGCTGATGTATGTTAAGCCTTGCTTATATCAGAACCACGGACAGGATAAAACAAGTTAGAAATATTTTGTTGTATTTCTTGTGAGGGACAATCTGTGACTAATTTGAGGTCTTCAGTACAAGGGTATGGAATATTATATGTGAAATGGCATTGTGTGGCTGTCAGAAGAATAATATAGATCGTATATTCCCAAATTTTGTAAAATAGAGGATTTGCATACATTTTTACTCTTCAAGGACATGTGCTCTAAAATTATGTATTTCCTTTTGTGTTGAATGTTTTGGTAATTTTACATGAAACAATTATTTTCTATTTTTACGCTAAAATATTTGTGCATAAAATTGTCAATATAGTAAAAGTAAAAAAATAAAATTTTACACAGCAATTTTGGTTATATGTCCAAATATGAATTATTCATAGTTTTTGTAGGTCTGAACAATGATACCGATTGCTTTAGGTTTGTTGTCAATAATCAATAGATTTGGGCCCTTGATCTATATTAGTTCAAAACTAGCAGAAATATTTTTCTTATGATTACTTTAATTGGAAACTTTATTTTACAACAATATTGTTCTATAAACAATAAATGCCCTAGATACACTAGATTGAAAACATGAAACTGTTTGATCTAAAAATGGCTTTTACATATTTTTACAAAAACGTGTTTAAAACAATTCCTTGTTGGACAAATTAATATAATAGGCTTTTTTGTAAAATGCATTTTAATTAATATAAAATGTTCTTACTGCACGCCTTGTATACTTAGTGATTAGTATTAATCCAAACAGAAAGCTCTTAATATTTCACTGCTCCAATAGAAGAATCAATATATAGAAAATATAAATTAATATATGTTCAGTCTTTCGTAATTGCAATAGAACTGAGAGATACAGAATAGACAACTCATATGAAATCATGAAAGTACTGAATCTTTGCAAATACAGGCTCTAATCACAATCAACGCACTTTAGGAGAAAGGTCATCCTATAAATCCCCCTCCCCTATTCTGGTGTCAAGCATGGTTAGGTAGCTTATTTAATAAAGAAACAGGAACAGAATACTTAATTATCAGACTCCTAGACTGGAAGCAAAAGGTTATCAAAATTTTTAATTAACATGCATCCTTCTAAAACAGCAGTGCTCATTCCAGTTACGATTGTGAGCAAATTAACTAATTTCGGCTCAAATGCTGCAAATTGAATTAGTTTCTTTCCGTTGCCTTTGATGCTATGATGCTGTGCAGCTTGAGAACTGCACTTGTATGTGTAAATTTACATTTAAGGAAAACAAAATCTATAATTCTGTATATTCCTGACTATACAGAAGAAAATAACATGATGATTCAAGCTAGGTAAAAAAAGTACTCTTGGAGTTTTTTCCTGGATTGCTCAGTGGCAAGGGATAGGTGGCTGTAAAACAGCAGGGGCTCAGCATATCATAAAATTACTAAATCTGTGTGCCATTATTACCATAGAAGATATGTTCGTCCAGTGAACCAGGAGCTTTTTGACTAAAATTACATCCCTTTCTGCATACCGGAATACAGCAGCCTCTTTTGTCAGTTATTTACAAAAATTAAAGTATGTTTCTTGAAAAGTTAATCCCCTGCTTCCACAAATATCCTTGTTACCAGAAGATGATCAACCTTGAAAATTTGAGAAGATTTCAGTAATCTAACAGTACATTTACTTATGATTACTTAAGTAAATCATACTGAACTCACTCGGATATAACTACATTAAAGAGAGCTTGTGAGCTTCAGCCTCCCCAATTTGGTGTTTACCAGGAAATGCCTGAGCATTCTTCATGGAACCAAGTGTACAATCCAGCAAGTAATATAGGATAGTTATCACAGAATCACACTAATACAATAAAACTCCTCCAGGAATGTATTTATTTACATTAAAACACTATTATACAAACTGAAAAAAGACATTTTAGAGGGAAGGCATGCCAAGGCAAACACCCTCTCACCCACTGCTAGTTTTATCTATTGTATTTAAAGAAGACATTCTATGAATCATGTCTTTTCGCAGAAGAAAAAAAACCTAACTCCCCCCCCCACCCTCCCACTTGATGGTCATTATTAAAATTATTCCTCCCAAAAGGTAATTTCTCCAAGTAAAACTCTTGCCCGAAAATCTTATTTGTAATTTATTTATGTAACACAGTATAGAAAGCTATCAATTCATAAGCAACAATTCTGTATATTATCCTGCAGAAACATTTGTAGGTTCCCTATAATTTTTTTGAACCAGCAGGCATTTTTCCCATCCTATCCTATCCTTCCCCTTCACCCTGCCCTGGTATAAAAGTGCTCATGATTAACAGGCATGATATTTTTTCTTTTCCTTCTTTCTTTTTTAGATGAAAAGATACATGGCAAAAAAACTTTACTCCCTCAATGCCTAAAGGTGTGCACATAAAACAGGCACAAAGAAACAAATGTGTATTCCCATGATTTTCTACATCACTAGTGCAGCAGAAGCAACAATCTGTACAATAAAATGCAACTGCAGAGGAAAATAACTCATCTGGAATACTTTCTAAAAAAAAATTCCAAAACATTTTGTCTTTAAATGCATAGTAAGCAGAAAAAGGAAAACTTGGCGAAGAGAAGCAGCTCAATCCCACATACACAAAAAGCATCCCCCATCAATTCTTAAAGTATATTTCAATTAGGACTTGATTTTTTTTGCTCATCACAAATCACAAGAATAATATACAACTGGCTAAAGGAGCTGTATGATAAATAATCAAGAAATAATCTATTCATGCACTAGTTAAGTACAGCTAACTTTACAGTACACAAAAACATTCATTAATGTAGTGTAAAGACTGAAATGTCAAGAAAGTACATTACTGATTTTATAATTCAAGTTCAGGCATCTACTTGTGTTACAGCACAGCTGTCAAAAGGCGATAATGAGTAAATAATAAAACATTGTTTTGTTTGCTTATTTCCATATTACTTTCAGCTGAACATCGATGGGCAGTGAAGCAATCACTTTGCTGTCCAATTCATGAGGTTGCTATGGTGTTCTAGTTCTGCATTTGCTCAAAGAACTTGTAGGTTGGATTTTCGTAGCCGTTTTGTTGCATCTTAGAAAGGTGACGTTCCTCTGGTGTCACTGCAGCATCCACCTAGAGCAGGACAAAGGAGACTACAGTCAAAGCCAAACATGGACAGGCCACAATTGTTTGTGGGGGCCTTTGGTGTTCTGAGCTTAGTTGTTTTACTTGCAGATGTTTTGTTACCAAACTAGGTAATATCAGTGCTAGTAGGGAGTGGGATTTGCAGTTATTTTATATCTTAGTGGCCATTAATACATAAAATGACAACAAACCCCATTCCCTACTAGCACTGATGATGTTATCTAGTTTGGTAATGACATATCCTCAAGAAAACCATCAAGTTGAGAGAGCACCAAGGACTTCACAGTTCAACCCTGAGCTACAAATATTTTTTCTATTGATACAATTGTTGATTTATTTATTCATTCCCAGCATTAGTATTCACCTTATTTGTACAACTCGAGAAATGCAAAGCTAAATCAATCATAAAAATAATTAAATATATTAAAATGTTATTGCCTTATTAAAATCTTCACCAACTGCTTGAAGGGCAAAAAGATGGGGGCCAGTCTACATACAAGATACTTAAATTTTGTCATATAATTGCTTACTTGTTATAATAATAACACTAATACTAATACAGTTTAATCAATTTGTTTATAGTATGGGCTGACATGATACTTTCATAATTTGATAATCTGTCATTAGAAAAAAGGGCAAGATGAATAAAAATATTTTAGATGTGCCACTGATAAAACTTAGTTTTAATTAGTAGTTTCTTTTGAACTACTAATTTTCTTTCGAACATTACAAACACTCAAATGAGGATTGGTTCTGGAAAGCATCAGAATTGTCATTCACTCTGTTTTACTTCCCAATAGATGCTATGCAGAAAGACAATACAGTCAGTTCTTTGGTTAAACATTCTGTAACTTAATATCTTTAAAATGGTGAGATATACCTTTTTAATACCTTAAGACTACAGAGATAGACAATGTATTTCATGCTGTTATGAGGTTGATATATAGAAACAACCAAAATTTAAGTTTAAGCTTCCTTTTGGAGAACAGGTCTATGTATTCAACATAGGAATATTAACCTGGAGAAATTGACTCATACTAAAAATAAGAATATTAAGGATACAGATGACATATCTCATATACATATCTCATATATAAAAGTTAACACCATTCTACTAAATGCATAATCTACACAGAGGGACTTAAATCTATTTAGCATTGTCTGCTTCTGAAATAATGTATGGAATAATATTTATTAGTTTCATTTACCTCCACTACACCATGATGGATGGATGTATACTGTTTCTTCTTTAGCATCACTAAAGTGATAACAATGACTGTGGCAATGACGACACCCCCTACCATTAGTCCAATGATGGCACCTTTATTTGAACCTACATCTTCAGCAAAGAATACCTAAACATAAAAATAATAGGTTATCGTGTAAGAAGATAACATGATTTCCAATGCATTTTTTAGCTTGATGATGCATTTGCAATGTACAATCCAATAATTTCTCCAAAGTGAACAAGATTAAATACCTAAATATTGTTTCCTGAGGCAAATTATTACGGTCTGATTCTCATATTTTAAAGGTGCCGGTTTCACCATTGATTTTGTTTGTGGAAGTCACAAAGCACAATCATGTGACCATAGGATATTGTGATGTCATAACTGCAAGCTGGGTGCCAAGTGCCCAGATCATGTTCACATGACTGAGGGAGACTACTGGTTGTAAGTACAAGGTCTGGTTATAATTACTATTCATTAAACACTATTGTAATTTTGAGTAGTTGCTAAATGAATGATGATTAAACAAAAATCACTCATATTTATAATTTACCCAAAATTTATATACCACATTCTTACATAAAAATATAACATAAAATAACAATGTAATCTAACATAATAAAGTGTAAGATTTTTACTACAAAAATGTTATCTTACAATTTAATATGGTTTCTCAAGGTTTCAGTAATCACAGGACAACATTTAAAGAAATTTATATGAAACAGGTTCATAAACAAATTGTTTAATTTTAGCTAAATTGAATCTAAGAATGGAGACTACACTTGCCAGTTTCTGATGATGTACTTCAAATCCTGAATCATGTCTATATTCTGCATCCATCTTTAATTCTGAGGTTTCTTCTGTCTTAACATTGGTTAATCCAGAGCCTGAATGAAACCAAAAAAGCAAGATATGACTAAAAACAAACTTTTGAACATAGTTATATGAACATCATATATGAACACAGCTACCAACAGAAAAATATTAAGAAATGCAAGTGAAAAATTAAGAGAGTGAAAGGTAGAGTTAAACAGTGAAATAAAGAAAAAGACTACACAAGTAATTTAGAGACTACAAACAGTGTTCAGAGGAAAAAGAGGCCAGGTTGGAGCAAGTTGGAGCAAGCTTGAAAGCATGAGTCTTATTCCTGGCACTAACTGAGACTGCTGTGCCTGACTGTTTGAATTGGCCCACTGAGACATCCAACATTAACATAAATAGAGAATCTTGGTTGCGGTTACATCGTTTCATTATATATTGTTTCATTTCTCAAAATACAAGTTCAAAATAACATTCGTGGCTCATTGCGGGAAAAAGTGTTGGACAATCAGGCCCTAAAGCTATAAATGCATATAATTGTAAAATGCTGGTTTATAGGCACTTCTTAGTAAAAAGTTCATTGCTAATGAATAATAAAATTTATATCCTGCTATTTAATTCTTATTTAAATTAGTAACAGGTAATTCTAACTCATGGCTGAATTTTAGCAAGGTTGCCATTTATTTATGTATTTAACTAGGCTTATATGAACCAAATCTGATATATGTAACATATGTAAAGAATGTTAAAATAGCTGAGCAATGAACAGCATGGAGTCTCTATCTCAAGGGATAATATATCCATACAGCTGTATAATTGTACTCAACAAGAATCTCTTTCAAGCCTTTCTTCCTCAAATTCTGTTGAAATCATCAAGTTTGACTGCTTTCCTAAATCTCAATTATGTTGTGGCGACAAGAGACTTTACTGTTTACATGGGATATTTTATCAAAATTTGAAATCTCATGAGATATAGAAATCTCGTAAGAGATTTGGATAGTGGGCACTCCAGTACCTGGAGGCAGCAGAGTAGAAGAGAAAGAACTAGACAAAATCACAAAATACAAAGACGCACAAATAGAATTAGAATGACTGTGGCAAACGAAAGCAAAGATAGAACCAATAGTGATAAGCACCGTTACGTACAATCTCAAAACAACTGGAACACCATTTTAACACCATCGCCATTGACAAAATCTCCATCAATCAATTGCAAAAAGCAACTTTACTTGAAGCAGTTTACATCCTGTGACATACCTTTTAATACCATCAAACAACAACACCTCTCTCAGGTCTTTGGGAAGGACTCAATCAATGGACAAAAACTCTGAATCCAGTTTAAACAATGTGGCTGAGTGTGTGAAGAACCACAACAATGTTATTTATAGCAATGTTTTTCCTCACGGAAAATACATATTACTTTTTCTCTCATTTCTTCCTAGATGATCCCTTATATTACTGTAATATGTTTTAATAAGGCAAATATATGCAAATTTGCCAAAGATCTGATGCCACAAAAAGGTTTACAACAGGTTTGCCCATTGAACAATCAAGCCAGGCTCTGGTGGCTTATGCCATAAAATGTATTTGTGTTGGGTGTGAAATTTTGCTACTTGCATAATAGATGGGGAAATAGGGGTATCTGTCAATCTTTAAAGAAGTTTTTTTAACAGCAGCAACCAGCAGTTCGCAATTTCTTGCTAAGTAGCAATATAAATCAATACAAATGCTCAACATTACAAAAGTAATGTGCCACTATATGTTCATATCGAAACATTCTGGATGCAAGTAAAGCTTGCAAAAGTTCACACTTTCCATTTTATTCCAGTGAGATCAATGCATAGCTGCCAGACTAAAAAGAGTGTATTTGCTAAATTAATTTACACTTTTCTGTGCTTATCTAGTGAAAGCTAGATGCTTAAGTTTAATAGTGGAGAAGCAGAGTCAACAGTGAGCTACTACCTTAATTTGAGCATTATATTCAAGTGACTCTTTAGGGAGTCATACTTATCTAACCACTAAAGACATCAATTTCTTCAACAGTTTATTGTTTAAATTACTACTCTATATCACAGGGTCATGGTGAAAACTGGATGAGGGACTGCTATAAACATGCCATAATGTGCTGAAGGAATAAATCTAATAAATGTGAAGTGTAATTAGTGTATTTTTGAGATGCAGGTCAATAAAAATTTTTTTAGAAAATCCACATTTTGAGACAATGTTTAGAAGCAACTTTTGAAATTATACCACTCCTTATTTAGCAACATACCAGTTAGTTAGCAAAATAATAGTTAGTGATCTCTTACAAATATAATTGTAATTTTCTTTAGAAAATCATTTTTTGACAATGCACAGTTTGTGTACCTGACAAAAAAAGCTTTCAGTCTGAAACTTAATCACTCAGCAGCAGTGTTGGCTGGGAGGTTCTAATGAACTAATTGAGGTCACATTGCTGAGTTTGTTAAAGTAATCTCTCTCTTGAGTAAGAGCAAAAAAAGGAAAACAAACACAGATCAAGCATAGGGCACTGTAGGACAAGGGTGTCAAACTGGCAGCCCAAAGGCTGGATGCATCATGCTCAGGCCACGCCTATCCCGGCTCCACAAAGGCAAAAAAAGTTGCGATATGTCAGATGACACAATGGAGTTTGACACCTGTGCTGTAGCAGATAACTGTATCTGAATTAGATGACATGGATCTTCCCAGCTTTCTTTCTCTTTCTTTTCTTTCCTTCCTTTCCTCTCTTCCCCTCCCCCCACCCCTCTCTCTCACACACACACATACAAACACTTGCTTAACAATGATTTCACAATGACAAAATCAATGGAACAGATTGTGACAGCTAAACCAGGACAGGATATAGCTTAATGGAATAAATCTGTATGAGAGCTTTCAAACAGTTCAAATTTTCTGTATGGTCAATAAAGGTTAATGAATAACAATGTTAAAGGTCTAACTATCACAGGATGAGATTTTTAATAGGGCAGTTTCAAGAACCATATATTTTGCTAGTTAACACAAGGTATTTCATTGAGTGAACTGTCCATTTTTTTCTTACCACCCCTGCCCTGAGATATTTTTCCTTGAGAAAACAGACATCAAAATAATTTTCTTAAGCTTATAATATATGAGTGATTAAAGTCAAGAAGAAATTACAAAGTCAGCAGATAGGTTTCTGAACAGAAGATGGAAACAGTCATTTATTTTTAAAACATTTGTAGTGTTAAAAGAACACTGAGGTATATTTTTTTCAAGAATGGCAAAAACGTCACATTAATTCTAAAGTCCTGTAATTGGTGATTGGATATGGAAAAAGACTCTGATAACCTATGTAAAACAGCAAGCAATTAAAAGCAATTATTTGAACTAGTTGTTGACCTGAGGAAACTGAAGTCCCTCCTCCAAAACTGCACTATTACATATATTTTATTAAGACTTGTTGGGCACTTCAGTAGATCTTTTTATGAAAGAAATAAAATGCAGTTAACAAGTTCAACCCAATAATCTTTAGAAGAGATCTGTAAACTGTCTTCTGTAAAACAAAGGGAATATTTGGTGATTATTTATTTTGAGCTGTAATTTTCTTTATTTTTAAGTTGCATTGTGCAACATGATTAATATTAAAACTTTGGTTTGTTTTTGTTTCAAAAGATATTAAGTTTTCTTTTCTTATGGTCTTAACAATACACCCAATGAATGTCTTGTGAACTTGTGAACCATAGAACAGTGTTATATGTTTATCTTATATGACACTGTGCCCAAATGACTTATTAGTGAACAAGTTATTTTAATGTTTATTATACACCAAAAATAAATGCCTCCAAAAGCCACTAATTTTATACAGATATATCCTCATTTGTGATATATTCCAGTTATGCTCATGAAAGAAGTAGAAAATGCTATTTACCATTGTTTAACTACTTTTAAAAAACTATTTTTTTACTAAAGTAGTGTGGCAGGGTGGGTAAATTACATTACATAATAACTGAAAGGAAAATAATGTGGCAGTCTAGAAAATGTAGCTTAAAATAATATTTGCATTTCGGACTGAATAGATGGCACATTTTAAAGCCCATATATCTTATTAAACTTTTATCTTTCATGTGTAAAATTGTATCATGAAATATTACATATTTTGAACATCAAATTGATGCTGCTGAATGTTAAGAATATAAGGGGGAAAAACTACAAAGGAGCAATATGTCAATGAAGACTCAATCCTCCAGGGCAAAAGTATTTAAAAGAAGTTAAATCAGGGCAACTGGACTAATATATCTTAATCTTTATTGATTTTTTTTTAGTATCTTAAGACTAATACTGTATATACTTAATATACTTTGGTCCAGTTGCCCTTATTTAACTTTTTTAAATACATAGGAGTAACAATTTCCTAAACCATCCAGTCAGTCACTCTGCTTTTAATTTCATCATATTCTTGATATTTATAATTCATGGGTCAATGGAAATATTGAAGCAAGATGATTTTGCTTGTGTGTTACTGTTGTTAAATCATGCCTATGGAAAGACAGAGGTGCACAGCAGAGAAATATGAAAAAGAAAAGATGATTCCTTCAGCTCAAGCCAAACATAGACATGCAGGACAACACAGGTTAGGTAAAAGCCATGCCAATTATATACCTGGTCGTGTGGTGAGTCCTCTGTCTGCAGCTGGACGGGCATCAACTGGCTCAACTGTGTATATGCAGCCAAAGAAATAATAAAAAGGAAAGATAAGGAGCAAATAAAAAGAAATAAACAAAAACTTCAAAAACAATTTGCCTGTGGTTTTGATTGGGACAGTGCAGGAAAGATATGTGCCATAAATAAAGTTACAAAAGCATCAGCTGAGAAAAAGTATCTGCTTTAAGTTAATCCTGAAAACAAAAAAGAAAGAAACAAGAACATTTGAAACTAAATGTATATATGCAACTGACATCTTATTGTAATTAATTTCTAGCTGTTACAATTTAGCTGTCCTGAATCAAAATAATAAACAATTATGATAGAAAAGAAAAAGTATTTCTTTCAAGGTGAAATAAATTATCCTGTTTTTTTTAAGCAAAACTGATAACATAAATAACACAAATAAATACATACCACTTATTTTAAGGTAGTTCTTACTCCATTTATTTCTCTTGCCCTTTAGAAGTTATGTTGCTGTTGTTACAATAATCATCATCAAATACTATCATAAATCTCAAAACAATTATGATTCAGTCTAGTTTGTAACAGAATAAATGAATGAAGTCTTAAAACATAATCTTTTCAAAACCAATATTCTATATTTCTAAAACAAAGAATTACTTCTAAAAAATGTTTTGGAAAACAATGTCTGTGCATGGTGGATCACAAGTCCCATTATTTTTAAGACAAATTAGAAATTACAAAAATTTCCACCCAATACATTTAAAGGCATTTGATTAGAAAAGATAGTCTTGATTATAACAGTTCTATAATTATAAAAGTTCTTTGTAGAAAACTGTAGCTACAAATAGTCTCAGCTTTGAAATCCAGCTTACCTGCCAAGCCTTCACATGCATTGTAACCAAGTTTAATATTTAGTTCATTAATGCCTACACGTTTATGATATATTTGACATTGTGAGCGCATGCAAATTTATTATTTTTCAAAATAACAAAAGATATTTAATTAATCCAGAGTTCTCACTCAAGGCACAAACACCCAGGGTCAAATTATCCTACTTCAGACACATTATGCAAAGACCTGCCTCTCTGGAGAAAGATTTAATGCTCGGAATGGTAGAACGAAAGAGTAGAGGAAAACCAGAAGCAAGGTGGATGAACTTAGTTAGAGTGACAATATATTTGACTCCAGATCATCTGAAGGACCAAGTTAGAGATGTCCATGTTACGTCATAGAGAAAAAAATAATCTATGTGGATGCTCAGAATTGACACTAAGTTGATAGCACATAGTAAAAAAGCTAGGGTTTTTTTTGAAGACAATATAAAAATCAACAATAACAAGTAATAATTGCAAAATTCAGAAATGTACAGGGAATGTAGAATATATCCATATGGAATATATGAATGAGAATCAAAAGAACATGTCATCTGTTACTTTTAGTAGAAAATAATTTTTAAAACTCTGCCCTGCAGCAGGACCCAGGAGCTGGCATACATTTTCTGTTGCAGAGGACAGCATACTCCATGGTCCCAAATTTATTGGCCCTCCACAAAGCTTTAAAGACCTAGCCAGCTTTTTCACTGGGTACAGAGCCAGGATAAAGGAGGAGCCCATTTGTAACTCTCCAAAAACTGAAAGGATTGCAGCCTTGGGCCTTGCTATGCTTTTCTTGTGTATGTGTAATGCACAATAAATCCTTGACTTACAACCACAATTGGGACCAGAATTTCCACTGCTGAGCAAGGTGGTTGTTAAGTGAGTCATGCCCAATTCAACAATATGTTTTGCCCCAATTGTTGAAGAACCGTTTCAGCTGTTAAGTGAATCATATGGCTGCTAAGTAAATCCAGCTTTCCCAGTGGTGAAATGTAAAATTTGTTACTACCGGTTCTGTGGGCGTGGCTTGGTGGGGAGGAAGTAATGTGACTGGGTGGGCGTGGCCAACTTCCCCCCCCCTTTTAAAAGCATTTTTTTCGGCTGAAGAGGTTGTAGAAAAAATGCTTTTAAAAGTAAAAAAAAAAAGCTCTGACAATCACGCGGCTCAGCTGGGCAGGAGGGCAGGCAGGGAGTTTTGCTACCGGTTCTCCAAACCACCCGCCACCATCACTACCGGATTGGGTGATCCGGTCGGAACCGGGAGCATTTCACTCCTGGGCTTTCCCCATTGTCTTAGCTTGTAGGAAGCTGGTTGGGAAGGTTGCAAATGGCAATCTCGTGATCCTGGTACACTGCAACCACTGTAAATAGATGTTGGTTGCCAAGCCCATTAATTTTGATCACATAGCTGTGGGGAAGCTACAATGGGCATAAATGTGAAGACTGGTCCTAAGTCATTTTGTCAGTATTATTGTAACTTCAAACGGTCGCTAAATGAATGGTTATAAGTCAAGCACTACCTGTGTGTGCTTTCATCTTGTTGATCTATTTTTAATTTTCATTCCATATTGCTAGTTGGGCAGCCATATCAACTGACAAAATAAATAAATAATCACAGAATGGTTAATGTAAGTTTACTTACAACAGGGGTGTCAAACTGGATTTCTTCGAGGGCCAGATCAGCACTGCAGTTCTCCACCACGGGCCGGGGGAGCAGGGCGAGGGGGACGCAGGATGTATGCCTCCTGCAGCATCCTGCCAGCCAAAACGGGGCATGGGGAGTCTGCGCACGGCCCCCCAGTGCGTTTTCACCCTCCATGGCCTCCTGCAGCACTCTGCCAGCCATTTTTGGCTTGTTTTTCAACCCGTTTTTGGCCTGTTTTTGACCAGCAGAGTGCTGCAGGAGGCCATGGAGGGTGAAAACGAGACACCGGGGGGGGGGGGGGCACATGCAGCCCGTTTTAGCTGTCAGAGGCACCATGGGCCAGCCCTTTGATATTTCCAGGCTGGCCCTGTGGGCTGGATTTAAGCATCTCATGGGCTGTGTCCGGCTTGCGGGCCTTGAGTTTGACACCTCTGACTTACAACATAATATTTGAATACAGAACCCTTTGAACCAGTAGTGATTTTTTTTATTCATCTGCAGGCTGAGAATTGGATAAATAAGAAGAAAAGCTTCTTCTTGCCCATGTGAATTGTGGGATTTATAGTCTCAATCTGTGAAAGCTTTTGTACTTGTGTTTTGTCTTTCTGAGCTGTCAACAGAAAATATTTTTTTGACTGCAGTTTTAGGCAGTGCCATCCATTAAAATCTTGACAGAGTGGAAAACCTGATTTTTTGCAGAAAATTCAAACGTTTGCATCCATTTATTTATAACATTTCTATATTGCTAATCTAATTAGCTTCCTGATGATTTTAAATCCATAAATTCACACCTCCTTAAAAATGGCATCAGAATGATTTCTATGCCCTTCTATATCCTTCAGCAGCTCAAAATACTACCTAAGCGGTGTATTTTTCTCTGGAAAACTGCGAGCAATGATGCCATCTGGATCTCCACAGATAAGGCTTATGTAAAATAGATGACCATAATTTGAAAAGTAACATATTGTAGCCTTCTTCTCTAATCTCATGCGAGGGGACTCATACTGTAATCTGGAATTGAGTCTACCTGAAGCAGGTGCTCCCACAGATACCGAGGCACCATGCCAGGAAGGGCTTTATAGATTATGTTACCCTGGTGGCTCTCACACACTGTAAACAGGCTGCTGCATTCTTTGCCATTTGCAGCTTCAAGAGAGCCTTCAAAGGAACGCTCATATAAAGAATATTTCAGTAGTAAATCCATGAAATGATGAGGGTTATCTAAACTAGTAAGGAAATTGGCAGTTATCAAAATTGTGAGCAAATGCAGCTTCTCCCATTTTCACAAAAATCAGAAAGTAAAAGAGTAACTGGAATTCTTGCACTATCATCTTAACCTTTCTAGTAAGTACACTAATTAGGACCTTGAAGTATGTTCCTTGGATTGTTTTCTGCTAGGATGTTGAAGGACCAGATCCATCTAGGAGGATCTTCAAAACATGGATCTATATCTAGGAAAGTCTTTTTATCCAGCATATCAAATATATCACATCTCAAGCTAAGTAAATTACCTCTGAGATAAACCTAATTCAAACCAAGTAGATTACTTAGTCAGTATCTTCATGTAGACATTACATACGCAGGAGAGAAAGATGACCCTGCAGCACTACAAGTTGGTTACTGCTGGACAACCATGTATCAATAGCTTTTAAGTAGTGGTCAAAGCCTGTCCCATGTACTACCATTGACTGGTATGTACAGACAGGAAGGAGAGAAACACTGTAATATATTGCTCACGAATTCCAATGATTAGCATGTAGTCCAGAAGGATTTCATAGTAGATGGTATCAAAGGAACTCAAGAGATCTAAAAGGACCAGAGAACTGTACTACACTTATCCATATTCTAATGCAAGCCATCCAGGAGGGAAATCAAGGTGGCTTCTGTCCATGCTTAGTTATGAATCCTGACTTCTATTCTAAATAAACCATTATCTTTAGGGTGATCTGTAGCTAGTACTCCACTAGTCTTTAAACAATTTTTTTTTAAAAAAATGTTGGAGCCACATTGTTATTATCAAGAATTGCTGATTTTAGAGAGGGGATGAATGGCCATAAATTTCAAGGCAGCAGGCCATAATGCCTTCCATAAGAGAAGGATTAACAACTTCTTGGATCCAATTGCTCATCCCTTTGTAGTTTCCTGAAAAAGCTAGACCAGGCACAGGTTAAAGCATGTATGTGACTATTTATTTTCTTGCATTCACAAGCCGAAGTAAAATTTCAGGTAACCGCTTGTGGTTGCAAAACCCTTATAATCTCCTCTATTTCCACCAATACAGGGTTCACTAGAACAGATTTAAGTTATTTTATGTGCCAAATGTTTCTCCAGGAGTTTATGGCATCTTTGGGAAAATCTTATTTCCCAACCCCAAAATGGGAGCAAGCCACCAAAATAGGCCATAGACATATAATGGATACTGTAAAGGTGTAAAAGTACACAGAGCTTCAAAAACTTTAAGTCTCTGATTTATATGTTGTGACTCATCAACAATGACTTTTCTAATTTTATTTAAGTTTAAATCACAAGTGAGGCTATGGTGGATGAGAAAGATGGAAGACATATTGCAGCATATTTAGAGAGCATCATATTATTGGATAGCTACTGAGATTTCATTTTCATCTTATTTGAGATAGAGTCTAAGGTTGTTCCATTTCCTTATTACCAGCTATGAATGGAGATCAAAATCTATAATATGGTCACAATAATAACCTCTAAGATCCTGGAAAGAAAAACATTGGGAAGGTTGGGGTGAGGATGTCAGGTTGAGACAGTGACAATGGCTGAGGAGTGGATGGATAAGGGAAGAGAAAGATGTGGGAGTGGGCCAATGTGCTGTACTGGGAGCTGTCAAAGGGAAGAGAAGAAAGAGGAGGGTGATGTGCTTTTCCTTCCTCTCAGCTATCACTGATGTCCTTGACTTTTCTTATAAACTTCATTCCTGCTGTTCCTTACAAGACATTTCTGCCTGGAATAGTCTAGTTTTGGTCCACAGACAGTCCAAAAGAGCCACATTTTGCCCATGGACCAAAATAATTAAAACTTACATGGTTTGGTTTGAGCACAGACCAGCCAAAAACAGCTATTTCATTGACAGAATGGTTCAAGCATGGAATATTTTGCATATCTCTAATTAGTAGAATTTTTTTTGAATATGCCAATTCATATTAATTATTAAGTGTACAATATTCCTTTAAATTTCACTTTCATTAAGTCTCCAAGTTAGTAATACCTATTAAGAACTCTGAGCACTTCTCTTAATCATGTTTTATTATTACAAGTTATAACCATTTCTGACAGTTTCTTGACATTAATACCCTAAAGGCATCTCACTTCAATTTTTTTACTGATTCTCAGTCCAATGGAGTACATGAATGTCACCCCTGAAATTTCTCATGCATATCCATATGTATATCCCACAATTAAAAGGATCAAGTTGTTCTGACATACCTTCCACTACTCAGAATGATTAAAGAAAAACCTTGCTCAAGTCAGAGAGATCAAGTCTTTCTCACAATGAATCTTATAATAAGCACACTATCTCCATCCAAGCTCTTATTACATTACCTTCATTTTCAGTATTTGCTGGGACTGAATCAACTGCAAAGGGATGCCAAGGCTGAAGATCGTCTAGGCTGAATTCTCCATCTACTGGGAGACGTTCAACTGTTTTAGTCTCTGTCAATGAAGGCATGAGGGCATCATTTCCATAGCTGATCCTGGGTTCACTTATCATATTAGCCAAGACATCATCAGAGTAGTTTTGCTCTTTCTGAAGTAATTCATCTGAAGAAAGACAAAAAAAAAAAAAAATATTTTAGACCATTACCCTAATAATTTACCTTGATACAACATTACACTATACTTCTTTTAAACAATTTAAGCAATCTACCTGAAGGCAAGAAGCAATGGATGGAAATTAATCAAGGAGAGAAGCAATCTAGAACTAAGGAAAATTTTCCTGACAGAACAATTAATCAGTGGAACAAATTGCCTCCAGAAGTTGTGATTGCTCCAACATTTTTAAAGAAGAGATTGGACAACCATTCGTATGGAATGGTATAGAGTTTCCTGCCCAAGCAGAGGGTTGGACTATAAGACCTCCAAGATTCCTTCCTTCCTTCTCTCCTCTCCCCTCCCCTCCCCTCCCTTCCCTTCTCTTTGAAAAGCAGATACAATTCCAGCAACATTGATAAAAGTAAACATATTCTTCTGAGCAATACATTGTATTTGCCTATTTATGGTTTGTTGCATGAAGAGCATGGAGAAATCCAATTTCTTATTAACATATAGTGGCTTTTCTCATCTCATGTTAATAGTCCTGTGATAACTCAACACCACTTCAGTTCTGTGCTTGCTTCAGACTGTATGAGAAACCATTATCTCCTTTAATATCATGCATGTTACAATTTCTTTTCTCCCAAATTATTGAAAATTATTGCATTATTGCTAGAATAAAAAATTTAAACTAAAATGAGATTGCACTTACCAACTTCATCCTGAATCTCTTCAGCAACTGCCGGCACATTATAAAGAAGAGAAAGAGACTGGTTCATACGTTCATATGTCACACGTAGATGTGTCATAACCTACAGAAATAAAATTACAACACTTACAAACTTCTTGAAGCTATAGCTGAGAATTTATAAAAGGATTAATAAGAAATTCACTGATGTTATCCCAAAAGAATGAGGAGTTCTCTATCAGGGGCTTTTCTGAACAATTATTCACAATACCTAATAATGCCTGAAAAGCCTTCATTTATGCTAGTGTTTCAAATCTACAAAAGCAGTCATATTTAAGTGTTCCGATTGAGGATTGATAAACTGCATGCTAAATAGACATGCCAAAGTCAATGAGTTCCTCACCCTGACATCTATTCTTGCTTCTGACTGAGTTTCACCCAGGGATAGGAGGTGCTGGAGCATTACTGCTTTAATATGTACAAGCCTCAAAGGGTAAAAGATTTTTTTTTTTTAATTTGATTTATATGCTGCCCTTCTCCGGAGACTCAGAGCGGCTTACAATGCGCTAAGCAATAGCCTTCATTCTTTTGTATATTTATACAAAGTCAGCTTATTGCCCCCACAACTGGGTCCTCAATTTACCTACCTTAGAAAGGATGGAAGGCTGAGTCAACCTTGAGCCTTGGCGAGATTCGAACCTGCAGTAATTGCAGGCAGCTGTTCTTAATAACAGGGTGCTTTAGACCACTGTACTACCAAGGCTCTTTTATAGCCAGTACAAGAATTCTTAAAATGATCAAAATATCATTACCTTGAACTGTCATATGTCTTATACTGTCCTTCAGGGAAATGCCACAATGACCAAGAAAGCACTTTCTGAACAATTTACTTTGAATTCAAACATTAGAATATAGAAAATCTCCAATGAACAGCATCTGGTCATGCACAAATTGTAACAGGAGGATTTTGACAGGAAGAAGTTTACAGCTAATCTGACTGACAACATTCCTTACTCTGACTCTGTTGCCGGTATCTGAAACCGGTAATATTAAGTGTCAGAGTTAGGGTTAGTGAGGGTTTTCAGTCACAAAGCCCTTTCTCCACTGACTTCAGAAGATGACTGAAGAGATATTAAAAAGTAAGCATTTGCCGGATATTCCACATATTGGGAATATCATTTTCCCTTTATCCCATAGAAAAGTTGATAAAGATGTTTAACCGAATATTTTATGATTTGGGAGAGAAGAATGTAGCCTATATTCTTGGTATTCCTTACAGATCTCCCATTCAAGTACTAACCACACTTCATCTTGCTTAGCAACTGAAGCCAGACAAGGCCAGAGAACTGTAAAAAGGGAAACTTAAGTCAAAGGCAGCTTTACGAAATGGAAAGTTCAGCCCTTGTTTTCTTACTTGCATGTGAAATTGATCTATTAAGCATTTACTTTACAAGCACCATACAAGAATGTGTTAATAATTCAACTATAAAAATCTACATCATGAGAAAATGCATTTCTAATCTTTTCATACAACTTTTGCCTTTTTATACTTGTAATAAAATTGTGTTTTAATAAAAACAAACAAGCGGCTTTTGCATATTGTGCATTTAAAACCTCGGAGAGAGAGATGTCCACAGGAAAATTTGAAACTTCAAAAATTCTACAAATATGCTTGGCAAAGCATTATATTAATACCTTTAGTAAAACAGGCAAATTAAACAGCTTTTTAAATAGGAAACTATCACTCACATCATCAGTAATGGCTGACCATCAAAGTAGTAACTGCTCTGTTTGGATGAGCAATAATTTACTGTATAAGCATAACCATGTATCAATAATAGTTTCCATATAATATAGGAATAAATAGACATAAATGAATTTAGATCAAGAAGGAGCGTTTGATAAAAAATGCAGCCTAAGCAGAAATCCAAATTTTATTATAAAAATACTGCAGTGGATGCAACAAAAATGCTTAAAGTGTGACAACTTTAGTTTCTCTAAAAGATTAAATATAAAGAGAAACAATATTACTGTATTGGATCTTGCAACCTTTTAAATCTCTGCTTTCTATTCAACCTTTTTATGCTGACATTCACACAATATTAAAATAAGAACTTCTATAATTTTCTATCTTATTACCTGAGATCTGATCTGTGCTGCTTTCTTAGGATCCACCATACGCACATGTTCAAAATGTTTCAGTGTATGCTGTCTGTCTTTCTGCTCTGCACGCACATATTTCTTCAGCATATTAAATACATGTCGAGGCTATAGAGATAAAAGTCACCACATAAATCACTTATGAAGTTGACAGTCCCATGAAATGTGTCTGTCCCTTGTATGTAGCCTTTAAAAGACTAATAAGCCTTACATTCTGTGAAATAAGGTAGTGTACTTCTGATATTAGGACTGTTCATTTCCCAAAGTATAGTAATATGAAAAAAATAGTATATAATATAGAGGACAATGTTAGTTTTTAAGTGTATTTTTCAATGTATAAGCTGCCTTCAAAGTTCCAAGTCATATCCATTTTAGAGAAATACTCACTTACAAAGATAATCATAGTAAAACTTTCATTTACCCAAAGGCAGGATATATGTTTCCATTAAATCCAAATACCCATAAAATCCAAACTTACATCAAGTTCATTGATTTAATTCATTATAAAGATGAGATATATTTTAATAGTGTCAAAAAAACCAAGATGAATTATTTTGCAGTCTGTAAAGGCATTATCATAATCGCACTTTTCATATTTTGCAATATAAAAGCAGCCAAGACAAAAATGTGTTAAGCTAGTCAGAAGAGGTATTAAGTACAGCTTAATACAAATGCCATACTTAACAACCTTTAAATGCAAAAATAATGTCATTTCTAATAAATACCTGATTTAGAAATATATTGGATTAAAAAAAATACAGTAGGTCGGAAAAATTGAAGCTTCTGCAGTCCTCTAAAGCAGCAGACCCCAACTTTTACAGCTTGGCAGCCTGGCAGGGGGAAGGGATCTGGCCTAGGCAAGTGGTGGGTGGGCACATGCATGCACATGCACACCAGCCCGCTGCTTGGGGAATTCGAACTGTGTGTCAGCCCGCTACTCACACATTTCAAACTTGTGCGCGCAGGCCCGCCACTCACACAAGTTGAGCTGTGCATGTGTGCCAGACTGCCACTCGTGTAAGTCAAGCTGCGCCAGCCTGCTGTTCGCACAAGTCAAAATGCACGTGTGCAAGCCAGTTGTTCACATGGCCAGGTTCCAAACAGGCCACAGCCTGGGGGTTGGGGATCCTTGTTCTAAAGATACAATACATCTACAAATCAATCATACTTTAAAAATTGCTACTTTGTTAAGTCACACATTCAATTTTTTCTTCTGCAAAGCCTATCATTTACTTCTTAAATTAACAGACCTATTATTCACTTATTATACTTATTTAGGAATTTAGGATCAATACCATATTAGTCTTTTGTTATAAATGTCCCACTAACGTATTTTCTATTATTGGTAACTTCCATGTTTAAGATTTTATTATTTCTCCAATAGACTTACTTTTGATATTGCCCAATTTGATACCATTAAGAAATATGACATGCTATATAATATGAAATATATTATTATTCATGGATAAGAATATTTCAGAATTTGTTAACATCTGGGACATTATAATAAATGATAAATTTTAAAATTGTATTTAAAGGACAATGAGTTTACAAAGACAAATAGCTTACTTTAACCAGAATAACGTGATTTAAATTCCAGTGTATATTACTTTGAGATAAATGGATCCATGGGTCCATGCACTCCTGCTTGTGAATAAATTCCTAGTTACAATAATATAATCTATGATTATTTGAATCCCTTACTTTAGGGGGCACAGCCTGAAGAGCTGTAATATAGTTTTCCAAAGCAACACGGCGGCGGTCATTGAGCATGGCTTCAACTCGGGCCATGTGAGTCTCTACTAGCTGCTGTCTCTCATTTGCAGCTTCTTGTTCCAAGGATTCCACCTTCTCTTGGAAATGCTATTGGAGAAAAAAAAAGGATTTCAGCAAAAGTAATTGTAATAATATAAGCAGCAATAAATTTCAAACATAAACATTCTGAAAATGAATTGTATTGTCTTCACTGGGAGCTTCTGGAATTTTCTGAATTTTTATTGTTTATGGCCAATCTTTCCAATAATGGTTAGATGTCTCTCCTGATTCTGAAAATTGTAGCAAAAAGTGAAAGTGTCCAGTAATAATCCAAGTTTCAATGTTCAACAAAATGTGATCATATATACATAAAGAAAAAAACTCAACTTTTAATGTATTGATAAAATTACACTACTATTTTTCCAAAAGCAGAGGTTATACAACATATCACATATTCCAATAAGTATAATATGCTTCTGAGATCAGCAAGCCACCCCATCTTCGCAAAACTGAAATCATGCATGAAAAAATGTGTGCATTTCTGTCCCAATTACATCTCTCTTCTCATACCGTCTTCAAATTAACTTCAGGCATATTCCCCGGGGGGGCGGCGGGGGAGGGGGGGAACTGTGATACTAACTATAGTCTATTTTATTTTCTCTGTATTCCATGGAGTTCAAAGCATAAGCACATAAGGTGATGATTATGTACTTATGAAGTACATTAAGGCTAGACTATATGATTTGCTCAAAGTTATTAAGTAAATTTAAGGTCTTGGGGATAGGGGAGTATGTATTCTATTCTTTAAGAGAATTGGCTGTTCTCTTCATAAATTGAGGAGAATCATCTATCTGCTTTCCGTACATAATTTAAATTAAACGGCATAAAATTTTACTCCCTTGTTGAAAAAAAAATAGTTTATTTAGTAGCTTAATTGTTTTAGAAATAAAATTATTACTGACTTTAATAACAAGGATCAATAATAACAAAAAAGAATGTATTTATTTCATTCTATTATTCAAAAAGAACTACTACTATACTATTAAAACTATATGCATAAAAAGAACACTAAATAATAGAAACTAAAATATAAACATTTAAATTATAAACGTTAAAATTATAAATCTAGATAATTATATGTAATGAAATAGACTTTTTTTAATATAATGGTATAGCCAGAGGCCCCCAACCCTTGAACTGGGCATTGAGCTGTTTGGAACAGGGCCATGGAAGTGGCAGGCAAGAGCATGTCCTCAATTTACAAATTGAGACCAAAATTTCTGTTGTTAAGCAAGACATTTGTTAAGTGAGTTCTGCCCCATTTTACGACCCTGCTTGCCACAGTTGTTAAGCCAATCACTGCAGTTATTAAATTAGTAACATGGTTGTTAAGTGAATCAGGCTTTCCCATTGACGTTAGACTTTTGCAAAACATGATCACATGACCCTGGGACACCACAAGCATCATAAATATGAACCATTTCCCAAGCCTCTAAATGTAAATCATGTGACCATGGGGATGCTGCAACGGTCATAAGTGTGAAAAATGGTCACTTTTTTCAGTGCCGTTTAACTTCAAACAGTCACTAAATGAACTGTTGTAAGTAGAGGACTACCTTATATGCCCTTATAATATACAACCTATTCTGTGACGCAACACTTTCCAGACGCATATTCAGTCTAGCTTTTGGGATATCTCTTACAAACTCTGTGCCATCAAGGTATGTTAGTGTTATACTGTAACATACTTGAAAACTAGATATCACAACTCCTTCCCCCACCCAGGAGCAGCCACACACCTGCCTGCTGAAAAGGGAAAGGAAGGGGAAGAAAAGGGAGGGAGATTTTCCATGCTCCTACCATTCTCACAAGGAAATTCAATGGGGAAGCTGGCAGAAAAAGTCACTACTGCTCCCTCTTCTTTTGCCTGCCCATGGTCATTCTGTGTCTCTGTTTAGATAAGGAAAGATCTCTAAAATGATGAGCCAGTGGGGGAATGAATTATGCAGTGGTTATTAAGTGTACGTAAACACACAATGTACACAATCTATTATAATAAGCTCTGTGCACAAAATAAATAAAAATAGTAATGCTGTTAAGTGCTACACAAAACTCAATCATACCACAGTCTTATTTTTTTAACTATACAATCCTAAATTAGCATTTTCTTTTTTACCTGAATGACAGCCTTTTTATCAGCCTTTGGCAAATTTTTTGCTTGATGTTCTGCCTCTTCCCATTCTCTCATGACCTGTGCAAATAAAACAGAAAATGAACAAATATTGTCCTATGTAAAATGGTTTCAAATGTTTACTGCTTAGAAAAGTTTTTTTTCCCCAATTATAGTATGGAGTGACTCCTAAAAGCTGAATGGTGAAAATTATTCACATTCCAAAGAGGCACTCAGTGTTCATTCTAGGGACAGCCCAGGTTTGCTATTAACATCAAGCCAGAAAGTAAAGACAATTCACAGTTAACAATGATTGTATACATACATAGATTGGAAGGCAAACACTAAAATCATAAATACTTTACAGTATTAATCACTGCACAATTATGCAAATTATTAGATTATGAATACAGCTGATTAGTTAAATATACACATAATGTCAAGAGCTAATGTATTGTATGTTTGAGAAAGTATTTATGCACAAGACATTTCCAGTGTTTTTCTGAAGGTCTTATTTAAAACTGTACAGCAAGGCTGGACAAACCTTAGGCTTACAGGATGTGCATGTGCTCTCAGTTAAAATACTGAAATCAACCAACCAGCCAACTAAAAAATACATAGGATGTCAATTGATTTTTAAAATTAAGAAATGTGTTTCCTCACCCCAGGCACTTATCAGTATCAGAACTAAATTCACAAGTTCTTTGATTGAAAAAATACTTGTTTTCCCCTGTGTTTATTCAAAGGGGTTATTGTATATGCCATTTTTACATAATTTAAACCAATAATGCAGTTTACAAGCGAACATACTTAATCCATGTAAAAAAAAAACCATTTACTATAAAAATAATTTAAAGCTAAATATTTGTGTACCTTCACCCAACCAAGAAGAAACAATCGGAAACAAATACTTTACTTCTGACGTATACTTTTTATATTCTTAGCATACATCACAGCAGAAGAAAATATGGATCTTTTTCCTGTTTTGCCTGCCAATCAGTTTCATACAAAAATTCATTACATTCACTTATTTTGGCTATTTCATGCTTTTCCCCCTTTGCTGAATGGATTAGAGACGTTGATATATGGTTGACAGTTACCTCTGCAAATTTATGTACCCATTTTATAATCAAAAAGATATTGTTATCAGCCAATTACAATGGCGGGCAGGGGGAGGACTTTTTGGACACAAGATATTAACATTAGTGGCCAGCAAAAAACAAACAAGAGATAAGAATATAATTATTATTTATTATTATTATTTATTAAATTTTTATACCGCCCTCAGGGCGGTGAACAGCCAAGATTAAAATACATACAATATGAAAATTAAAATAATTTAAAACATAATTAAATCAATTTGGCTTCCCCAATTTAAAACCCCTTACCCATAAAATTAACCAGTTAAAAATTTTAAGCTAGCCCGGCTTGCTGAAATAGAAAAGTCTTCAGGGCCCGGAAGAAAGTACAGAGGTCTGGGATCAGTCGTATCCCTGGGGGTAGCTCGTTCCAGAGGGCGGGTGCCCCCACAGAGAAGGCTCTCCCCCTGGGGGCTGCCAGTCGACATTGTTTGACCGACGGCACCCTGAGGAAACTCTCTCTGTGAAATGCTTTATTATAGTTTATCATTTATCATTTACAAAGGTTCTATAAAAAGTGTAAATCTTTAGCAAGCCAGCTTCTCTTTGAAAGTTATGAATGTTCACTCTAAAGCTGAATTAAAACTACACAGATTATATTTTGAATATGTAAGCATTGGGTGGGAAAGTTTGACGCACCATACCCTCAACTTATTAAATCAAAAGTGAATGCTTCTTTAAATTCAAGAAGGGTGCACAATTGCATGAATAGGCTTGTAGATTTTTTAAAAGACTTGTGGTGTTGGGGAGTAAGCAACTGGAGGAACAAAAATGAGAGGATAAATTAAATAATCAGAGAAATTCATTAAGGTTTAGGAAACGGGAACACTTGATTATAGCGGATATCTACATCAAGTTTGCATTACAAAAACCAGTTAATAAGACCCATCTGCGGTTTACCTGAGACATTCTTTCACGATGCTTCGCTTCTAGTCTCTCTTTTGCTTTTTGGAAATGGGAATGTTCATTCTCATCACCAGGTGTTTCCAGGTACTTGTCAACAGCATCCGGAGTGCTAGCAGCTGTGGTAGGTACTAGAAACAGGAATTTACAAAAGAAAGCAAAAATTTCTTTTAAAAGGAATTATGAAATCTTACATTGTAAGCAACCAGCTAGTAGAGGAACAAATACAGAAATAATGTATTTCAAGAAAATATGTCTGCATTTCAGAGAAGATGCATATAAACACAACAGGAAAGCATGAAAGTTTCAGGTTATTTCAAAAGAAGCAATGAGAGGAAACTAGGATTTTAAAACATTTTTTTTTAATTTGGGAAAGCAATCAAGTATATAATTACATATGCAGATTTAATTCCTAGGCAAGTTTGACTTGTACCCTGTTCCTACAGACGACACATTTTAAAAACCCACTTTATGACTACATTCAAACATTATTTTATTATTAGCTACAACTAACAAGACAGGAGGTAGGAATAGCATATGAGACAAAGACAGGGAGAGAACACTAAACTTGATCTATGCAGCTCTCCAAAGCTTTGATTGCCAGAAAAAGCTCACAAACATATGGTAATAGCATATGTTAAAAATTCATCATTGTCCAAACACAAGCTTTTTGCTAATTATTGCAGGCTTCTTTAGCCTTGTCTTTAATTTGGAAACTGAAGAAATTATTACACAGGAAACTGTCATAAACCAAGACAATTTATTTGTTCATCTAGGCCAGAATTATTTTGACTCTCAATGGCTTTTCAGGTTCTCAACTGAAGTCACCCATATAATCAATAACATGATTTTTTTTAATCCCATGATTGAAATAAAGCAAATCTTCCACTATTCAGTTGGTCTTTCCCCATTTAAAAACCACAAATTAACAGCAGATTTAATGAAGTGAAATGTGCAGATACTCAGAATTCTTGTCATTCATTTTATTCTCCTTATTTATCCAAAATTTGTATGAATATTGAATCAAACTTCAATTGTAAAGCATACTTTCTTTTGTAGAAGTTCATTTTTTTACAAGTGCCATCTAGACAACTTCTGAAAGTTAAAATATAAAAATAGAGAACATCGAATATCTTCTTGTAACCAAGCTTAACATTTTAATGTTCAGGTAGACTTTGTTTAGCAAACACAATTGGGACGAACAACTCTTGTCACTAAGCAATACAGTTGCTACACGAAACATTACATGACTGCAACAGACTGACAATGCCATTTCCCATTTAATCATTTAAAAAGTCACTAGGGGTCATTAAGTGTGACATCACATGACCATGACTTGAAATTTTACTGCTAGCTTCTCCATTGACTCTGCTTCTCAGAAGTTAACTCTGAGGTTTGCAAATGGTGATCATATAACCAAGGGACTTTGTGACAATCAAACACCTGTCAGCTGTGAACTGACCAAATTTTGATCACATGACCACTGGGATGTGCCATGATCATAAATGCAAGAACTGGTTATAAAGTTACTTTTTCAGTGATATAGGAATTTCAAATGGTTGCTAAACAGGCAATTGTTAAGCGAGGTCTACCTGTATGTTCTTTTGTTCGTGCAAAACGGCACATTTGGACACAATCTCACAGCTTTTAAAGTTTAAATTACAAATTTGGTAAAAAGAACTATATAAGCCAGGGGTCCCCAAACTTGGCAGCTTTAAGACTTGTGGACTTCAACTCCCAGCTATGCTGGCTGGAGAATTCTGGGAGTTGGTCCACAACTCTTAAAGCTGCCAAGTTTGAAGACCTCTGATATAGGCAAATACAAATTTTCAAGATGCTTTACCATCTGAAATTGCACTGTAACTCTAATATCTATTAACAATGCTTAAGAAAGTTCACACAAACATATTGGATCTGCCATAATTGTAGTGTTGATGAGGCCATTATAATATATTCAGCAAGAGTCAAGGGTTTTATTTGGTAATTCTTGGCAAAAGTGTTGTAAAATTCTTTACTAAGGAAATAGCTAGCCTCAATTCAGAGTGCACATCGGGGAACAAATATAAATGCTAATTAATTAGTGCGATTACGAGAGCTTCAATATTGAATTTGTGCACATCATACAAAATGAATCATGCTGATTTGGAACCATTCAAGACCTTTCCTTACATCTTTCAAGAAGGACAAAAACAGAGTTGAAACTCCAATTGTTTACCAAGCAAAGACAGGGAAAAAAAGAAAGCTATTTATCCTTGCAGTGCACTATTTAAAACTGAAATAAGATTCTTCTTCTCTAATTCCAAACTTCAGAATGCCCGTCCAGTAAGATCAGGCAAAGTAGGCATGTTCCACATGCCCTCAATTAAAAAATGCCCTCTCTTTGGACAAGGAAACATGCTTTCTCAGTCATGATACTTGCCCCCGAGAATAATATTTCCATAGAGATCCATATAGCTCCCACCTTAGTAATGTTCTGAAAGTCTTTTAAAAGCACAGCTGTTCTCACAAGCCTTATAGTAGGGTGATTGCTAAGCCTTTATAAATTGTTTTTTATTGCAATGTTTGGTTTTCTCTTCTGGTGTTCTGCCCAAGCTACGGACCCCAAAGAACGCAGCACACACAAACTCTATACAAAGCTTATTTTACTCAAATAACTTAGTCTTTATCATTCAAAAGCTGTTAATGAATTGTCTTAACAACCTATCAGAATTCTAAGATAAGGTAATCACAGTCTTACTAGAGTTGGCAGAAAGCCCAGAAGCAATTTTGCAGACACGAAGGAGAGTGAACTAAAGTTGTTCTCTACAGCTTGTTGCAAGCAGGGTTCCTTCTTAAATAGGCTAAGGGAGTGGCCAATTAGCCCCAAGCCTTACTCTCGAGGAGACCTCCTCCTGAGAAGCCACTCCTGTCTTTTGGCAGCTTTGTACGCCCGTGCATTGAGAAGAGGCTCCTCCTCTTCGTTCTCTTCACTTAAAGGAGCTTCTGGAGATTCTGAAGGCCCTGGCTGAATCCCTGCCTCTGGCACCACATCTTCTACAGCCTCCTCACTGTCCGACTCGAGCGCCAGCTGCACAGGCTGCTGACACAGCATCACACCAGCGTCCTCGTTGTCGGAATCAGCTACAATCTGCATAGGCCGCTGACGGGCCACAACATCTGGACATCTATGATCAGTTTCTTATTTTTTGCTTTTAAAATGCCTTACATTATTATGGCTGGTCACACAATTAGCCCAATATTTAGATTGATTAGGCATTTTTTAATCCACCTATTGAGTCTTTCCCAAGGACTCGGGATAGGAAGATGCTATTGTTTGATGGTCTTAAAGGTATTGATACAGGATGTAAGCTGTTCCAAGTAAAGTTGTCTTAGTATTATTCTCTATTCACAGCAATATGAAGTTTATATGCATCAAGATTTATTATACACATGTATAAAATAAAATTTTAATAGCATCTATGATCAGTTACTTTAATTGTTCCTGGTTTTTTTAATTTATTTATTTAATTTGATTTATATGCCGCCCTTCTCCGGAGACTCAGGGCGGCTTACAATGTGTTAAGCAATAGCCTTCATACTTTTGTATATTTATACAAAGTCAGCTTATTGCCCCCACAATCCGGGTCCTTTTTAAAGTGTAAGATGCACTAACTTTATTATAAAGAGAGAAGTAAAAAAAAAATAGTTCTAATTCTTATGCTATTTGAGGAAGGAAGCAATGTCCCATAGTTTAGCAGAATGTCATTAGCCTAGTAATTTTCTGACTTCCATAAGATTCAACACCTAAAAATGTGTTTCAAACCTTTATCTTTATATCTTTCTTAACATACTTAACATTAATGCTGTGTGTTACTTAGTACTGAATTTTTATGATTTGGGATCAATGCTACATTGCATTAATTTTAACAACCATCTGTCCTAGGAAACTAAAAGGAATCTTAAAAGCAGTTAAAGATTGAAATTACTGTTTTTAAGAAAAATCTTTTAAGGATTACTATTGTATTAACTGAACACACAACTCTTAAGATATTTACAGAAAACCAGACATGAACTTTAGGCCAGCTCAATCCTTCTATAACCTGTGATTGGTTTACATATATGAATACCAAAACATTGTATGTGAAATAAAGAAATAACAGAAACAACAGCCTGTACGGAATCTATTTTTAAGCCATCAATAACTGCGAGGGAAGTTTAACATATATTGCAGAATTGTATTATTTTCCAAAAGTATGACAAAGGTATTAGGATTCTAAAGTACTTATATATTTTAAAGTTCCCTGTTCAAAATCTCATTTGTTTTCTTAAAAATAACCCCACCTAATTAAAAATTGTATTTTTAATGATTGATGAATTTTCTCCAGCATTATAACAAGGGGGGAATAAAGAGAAAAAGTTAATGAATTACAGTTATGATCTCATTTGAATTTTTTTAGACTGCTTGAAAAAATGTTAAGTAAATTATCCAAATATCCAAGCAATTTGGACTTTTGGAAATGGAGATACAGATAGTCCTTGACTTACAACTGTTCGTTTAGTGAACAAAGTTACAACGGCACTGAAAAAGTGACTAATGATGGTTTTTCACACTTATGACTGTTGCCGCTTCCCCAAAGTCCCGTGATCAAAATCTGGCACTTGGCAACTGGCATGTTTATATGAGAGTTGCAGTGTCCTGGGATCATATGATCATGTTTTGCAATTTTCTGACAAGTAAAGTCAATGGGAAAGTCATACTCACCTAACAACCGTTACTATCTTAACTGGTGATTCACTTAACAACTGTGGCAAGAATGATCATAAAATGGGGCAAAATTCACTTAACAGCTGTCTTGCTTAGCAGCAGAAATGTTGGACTCAATTATGGTTGTAAATCAAGTACTACCTGTATTGGACAGAAGGAATAAACAGACTGGCCTACTTAACAACCAGAAAAGTGGACTATAATATATAGATTGAAGCTCTTGATGAATAATCAGAAACAATTCTCTAGTTTTTATTTTAAAATGTTGACTAAAAAGAAATTAGTTTCACTTACTCCGGCATGAAATTTTTGACAGTTTATCTGCAACATAATGTATCTTGAGCTTTAAAAAGTAAATAAATTTAATTTGTCAGATGTGGCTATGATATATGTTTAGTCTAGTTTGATACAGAAAACATTCTGGTTATGTTTCATTGCATTTACTTTTCTTCCAATCCAGTTTTCCTCCTTGCCAAACACTGGTGGTAGATTTAACTGAGAAATGGCATCTGATGCAATAGACTCTAATATCAAAAAACAGCTGCAAATTTGGTTTCTTTAATAATATTCTAATAATAAAGATTATTAAAGACAGCTCCAACTTAGAATTAAGGCAAAATTTCCTGACAGTGAGAACAATTAATCAGTAGAATGGCTTGGATGCTCCATTACTTCCATTACTGGAAGTTTCCAAGAAGAAATTGGGAACTACCGGTAATTGTTTAAAATGGTATAGAGCCTCCTATTCAAGCAAGGTATTGGATTAGAAGACCTCCAAGGTCCCTTCCAACACTGTTATTCTATGTTCAATCTCTGAATCACATTACCAGTCAGATCTTTCTCTGACAACACTTAAGATATTCCTGAGCACATTGTAAGCCGCCCTGAGTCTCCGGAGAAGGGCGGCATATAAATCAAATTTAAAAAAAAAAAAAAAGATGTTTTCCCTGAGAAGGGAAAAGAAAATACAAGGTAACAAATGAGATCTCACTTGCAATAATAAGATCAAAAACTTCTTGTATATAAACCCCTTTTGAAAATAGTTATCCTGGAAAAAGAAACAGCTTTGAGAAGAGAAAACATTTCTTCTGCTGTTCCCTGGCTTCGGAGTGCAAAACTTTAAATACCAGCTACCCAATACCCAAAGTAAACTTCTTCCACTTAAGCAGAACTAAACATACTTAATGACTTGTAGAATGTTTTCCTAAGCATATTTTCCTCTGAAATAACTCCAACTGAATTTAATTCAAGTGTTCTCCCAATACTTGCATTTCAGACTGCAGTATAAGTACCTCAGAACAGAATTGACACAATGTATTTGATCGTATATTTATGTTTTGTAGTGTATATGCAGCTAAAATAATCAAATTCATATGTAAATAGAATGACTAAAATTAAATGAAAACATTACTGCATGAGTAGGTTGAACTAAAGAGAAAATGCAATAATTTCATAAAATATCATTCAACAATGAGAATTTCAGTAACCATGTAAACGAAATAATAAAGCTTATAATGAAAGGGACAAGGTTTGTGTCCATCTCCCCTTTTGACTTAGTCTTTTATCATCTTCTTTTTTGAAAGTGAAGAATAACTGCTTAGTCTTATTAGTCATAGTTTGTCATTTTATTAAACTGACAAGCTGTAGATTATCCCAGTGATCAATCTTTTGAAGCACTGTTTGCCATAAGATGCATTATAATGTACCATAAAGCAGTTGTATAATTGTAACCAGTCAACTCAGACAATAAATATTCTACTGCATCCCCAAATGTATAAGAATGTTATGGAAACATGTCAACTCAATAACTGGCACAAGCCTATTTTATAAAGATAAATTCTATTTTACTAGAATTAAATGTACAGCAATTATGTAAATGTAGGTATGATTTCATCTCCACAATCATCTATGACAAATAAATAAATGTGTACATGTATATATTGTATATACTGTGCATGCATATGTGTGAATACTCAGATCATTTTTTTTTCTGAAAATATACATTTATTTTGTGTGGACATGTATTTTGTTGCATCACTACTATTTGTACAAAACAGGACACAAACAAAATAATATAACTGGAGGCAGTTTTACAAGCTTGCAGATTGTTTCTATTTTGATCATTCACTGTGATTGCATGAGAACAGTACACAGATGCATAACAGTGAGTATGTTTGTATAACAAGCTTTTAGCAGAAATTTTAAATTCTAAGTTTTTCATATCCCAGTTTCCATTACTGCAGCAGCAGTAATTTGTGTCTACAACATAGATGACAGAAGTCACTAATTGTCATGCCTGAATAGATAGAAAGCGAGAGAAACAGACGCACTAATGGCCAAACACATTCTACAAAGATGCGGGCAATTAGGAAAGCTGACAGAAATATGGTTAGTGATAGGCCCATTCCCAAAGTCTTTTTTTTAAAAAAAGAAGAACAAAAACAAAAATATTTACTACAGAACAGCAGAGGCAGGGTGGCATGAGATAGAAAAGAGAAAGAAACTGCCACAGGCTGGAAAGATCCACTTACTGACGCTGCCACAGACTGCCATGCAGTATTCCTCAGTGTCAAAGTTGTTTCGGTTTCCACCACATCCGCCGTAAAAGAATGGGGCACATTTTCCTTCAGTCACATCAAAGTACCAGCGGGAGATCATTGCTCGGCAAGGACCAGTCTCAGCTTGTTCAGAGCACACTTCTAATTATAGGAGATGTGGAGGAACTACATTTAGCATGAAAGTGGAATTGTTCATTCTATTCTATATACGTTCATTTGTATATGTAGATATGTCTCTACATATTTTCCAGGAAACAAAAAATTGGAAGTGGCTTTTCAATGAAGAAGTTTTATACCTTTATTACAGCATCAACAAAATTTTACTGCTTCAAGTTCCACTCTTTAAATTAAAACACATTGTTCTTGTTTTAGGTCAGTGCTTAAAGTCTATCAGGGAAGATCTGAACTGAAGACAGTTGATTCTATGGAAAATGCTCCTGTGTCACCTTTGTTACGAAACCATCTCCCAGAATGAAAAATGATGAGATTCAAATTCAACTACTTATTAGTATTACTCATTAGAGGTCAGATCAACTCAACAGTGTTCCAAACCTGTGGGGGAGGGAGAAGCAATAAACTTTTTTTTAAAAAAAGTTACACAGCACGTAGTCATATTTACCTTCTATTATTTTAGTTATTTTTAATTATGGCCATCTATTTCAAAATACAGGGTCTAGGTAGCCTCTACAATGCTTACATTTCATAGCTAGTTTTTATTTAGATTTTCAGTTTTATACATTTTTAGATTAGAAATAATTATTCAGATCCTTTCACTCCACTTGATTTCATAATAATAATAATAATAATAATGATGATGATGATGATGATAATACTATTTGGATAACCTTTGCTATTTCTTCTTAATTGAAGTGGTATTTTCTATTGTCAACACTTTAGTAGTCTTTAAAAGGATATTATAAACTTTGTCATGTAAACTGTTTATTCCAGTTGTTCCCACAGAATACATTTTTGCTAGCTGCAAAAGTATATATAAACATATGAATAGTGCAAAAACACATTTTCTTCAAAATGTCCCCTTCCTTTTAATTTCTTAACAAAACCATACTGCCTAACTTTGAAATGAAATATTATGAAAAACCTATATGTTTGTTAGGGGTATATGGATTGATAAATTATATAAGAAAAAAGTAATGCTTTTTTGCCAAAAAGAAAACAAGTAGTTGTGGAAGTGTGCAAAACATTCTGATTTTAAAATATTTCAAATGTTTAACATGCCAGAAATATGACCTAATGACCTTTCCTAAAAGTGGATATAAGCTTAACTTAACATCTGAATATGGCCCTTCAGTTTCCTCTGTTTAAAAGAAATGAAAGAACAAAGCTAGAGCGCATATTAGGTGAGAAAGGCTGCTGGTGGTTTAATATAGTTACACATTAAACTGCAGCCAGTAACTTGTCTAAACTGGTCAAAGTAAGTTTCATGCACACAGATATTGGAATATATTATGTGGAATAACATAAGTGAATAGTGCCATTCAGTTCAATAATGCTTACGCTACAGCTCAGCATTCAAAATTGAGTTCCCAGGTTAAATTTTATCAATAACCTTAAAAATACAAACTAAAAATTATTATAACTAAAATATTTATATTTAAAGAATAAACAAAGACTTTTTTTGAGTTAAACTATATCTGCAAAATTACATGTTTAATTTTTAAGTATTTGAATCATACTGATGATCTTATATTTGTTCCAATCATTCCTTCCTTTTCTTTTCTTTGGTTTCTCCCACAAAATATGTTAAGAGAAATGGCTGACAACAATGCTGGCCAGGCATCTTCAAGTGTTGTGCTGTGGCAACAGCTGCATATTAGCTCACAAGACATGGCATTTTTTTAGACATTTCATAAACAGTTGAGAGAGTTAGTAACATGCCTCTTGCCTTTTTTTCTAATATTTTTTGAGGAGTATATTAAACAACTAAAATTAATACAACAACCTAATATAGAAATACTGTGTGTATGTGTATGTGTGTGTGTGTGTTGCAGAGAAAAATCAAAGCAAATTGAAAAAAAGAACTTCCCTTTTCATACTCAGCAAGTATAGTCAACATTAGTAACTTATCACTGTCTTTTAAAATATATACTCTTGCTTTCTTCTGACAAAGAGTTAAAAGAGGCAATGCCCTTTGAAAGGGCAAAATTACCGCTTTGGAAAGAGCTCCAGAAGAGGCTACTTTCACCTCCACAACATTGATTGAAGGACTCCAATCTGGGCTGTTTGGGCTAACACTGTGGGATTGCTCACACTATCCACTAAAGGTATCCATTCTAGGCCTGCCTCAGTTGGCACTCAAGGTTTTCTATAATGAGCAGCTATAGCAAATGCACTGTAAGTAATCCCCAAACTGATCAGCCTATAAAACTTTGATCAGTGCTGCAGGAGAAGGCAGCTAAAAAGAACTTTCCCTTATATTTCTAGAAGAAAAAGATTAGAGGATATCCAAATTAGGATATGGTGAAGAAATCAAATAGCTTGCATGACTTGAATCAGTTCATTTAAGCAAATCTATTCCACTTCATAGTGTATGATTAACAGATATGTTGTCACAAGACCAAAACTGGGAAAATAAAAACAGCAGAATACAAGTCTGGGAGAAAATTATTTAGAGAGTATAGAGTAGTATATCATGGCCAATAAAGTAGTCCTTAAAAAACTACTCCATATTCTGGGAAGTTTTAGAAAGGGAAATAAGATTTTGAAATACAAACATGTGTGACCTGTATTGTTAATTGTGAGGATTTAGGCTAAGAATTGTGAAATGTATTGAGTTATTAATTGAATTGAGATTTAAAGTGGGTGAACAGAAGGGTAATTGTTTTGATTAAATAAATAAGAGTAACTTTTTTATAAGATGGTAACGGGGAGATAGGTGATTTAAGATTAAGTATTGTTAATAGTGAGGATTTAGGGTAAGAATTGTGAAATGTATTATGAGGTATTAATTGAATTAGGATTTAAGGGGGGTTAATAGAAGAGTAATTGTTTTGATTGAGTAAACTTGAGTAAATTTTCTTTAAGATGGTATTAGTGGAGATAGGTGATTTAAGATTAAGAAATAAATTTTATGGCAAAATAGAATATATAACATTTTGTTAAAGATGATAAAAAAATTGTATAAATTGATGACCGGATCAGGGCTCTGTTCCAAAAAGATGTAATTTGTGTGTTGAGAAAAATAAAAATAAAAAAACTTTTTGCAAAAACAAAAAACAAAAAACCTACTCCATATTCTCAAAATACTGGTTTATGCCAACTATCTTTCAATTACAAATATCTCAGCATTGGGCAGATGGTTGAGAAGATTATATATATGTAGTCCAAGACATTTATAGAATAAATTAATTTTCATTTTTTTTCAATCGGATTAAAACTTGCCTTTTTTTCCTAATTTCATATCTACACTAATTTCAATATGATACAGGCACATATTAAATACATTTTAATAGCAATGTGAAATAAAAGGTCTCTCATAAAGTATCATACACACAAATGGATAACAAATGACTCAAGAGATGTCATGCAGAACTACTTCATATTCAGTTGTTGACTTAAATATAAAGCTGAAATGAATAAATAAAATTTAAAAATATAAACAAAACAAAACCACTTATTGCTTTATAAGATTTATAAGCTTTTAGAAAACTAAGACACATTCCATTTCTAACAAGAAATAAACATTTTCCACAAAATGGTAACGCTACAAGAAATACAGAATTAAACATTGTGGCTTCATGCCAAACCAAAGAGGAAAAATAAACCTCTTTACATATTTTCAATAACTTTCTCAAACTTTAAAAGCTTTTTGCTTCCTTTTTGCTATATAGTGTAACAGATTACTTTATATAATTTAAGGATGCCAAATAGTTATCTCTGCATTGCAGAACTAGCAATGAATAAAGCACATGCAATAAAGAATCTTGAGCAAGATTACTGAACCCAGGAACCATTTTCTACCTGCCATAATGTTTTACAGCTACTCATGAATACAAAACTCTTACAACTAAATCAATGGCTCCAGACATATTCTAGTTTTTTTCCAATTTTTTAAATCATATTGACTATTGTGGAGAGGTCCTATGCTTCCAAATAAATTTCATAAAATATTTGACATCTAATTCATTGTAGGTATTTGTTTGTATACACCAAGAGCAGCTCCCCGGCGCACATGCATGGGAGCACTGGAAACCGGAAGAGCAGTTCCCTGGCGCGCCTGCCAGGAAGCTGACCTTCCAGTTTCCTGCATGCACATGCGCGCCAGTCACTTAGTCTTCTGGTTTCTGGTGCACATATGCACGTGAAGACCAGTTGGCCGGTATGCATGTGTGCGCCGGAAACCAGAAAAGTGGAGACCAGCACGGAAGAGCGGAGACCAACTGGAAGCTCAGCGAAGACCAGCACCCTGGAACCCGGAAGAGCAGTGGGTGACAGCTGGCGTGCCTGGAGAGAAGGCCCTGCATGCCACTTCCGGCATGCATGCCACAGGTTCGCCATCACGGACGAAGACTAAACATCAAAAGAAATGATTTAAATAAATGAAGCATATTATAATTTGTGAACATTTCTGAATAATTTACAGGTATTAAACAAGTTTTAAAACAGTTCTTTATTATTTGCTTTTTAAGAAAGAACTGAATTTTAAAAGATAATTTAATTTTTATTAAAATATTGCAATGAGGCTTCCCAGAACGATAAAAAAGGGAATAAATGATTTTTTTTTGTTTTTTTTAAATTTGATTTATATGCCGCCCTTTTCCGGAGACTCAGGGTGGCTTACAATGTGCTCAGCAATAACCTTCATCCTTTTTGTATATTTATACAAAGTCAGCTTATTGCCCCCATAACTGGGTCCTCAATTTACCTACCTTAGAAAGGATGGAAGGCTGAGTCAACCTTGAGCCTTGGCGAGATTCGAACCTGCAGTAATTGCAGGCAGCTGGTCTTAATAACCAGCTTAATAACAGGGTGCCTTAGACCACTGTACTACCAAGGCTCTTGGGGAAAAAACCCTTCTTTGTATTACAACAAGGTAGCTTAAGGTGAAGAACTAATGACACTTCAACTATTAGAGATCTTTTATAACTGAAATGTGATTTCGAGTTCCCAGGTGAGGAATGAAG